TCTCTCTCTCTCTCTCTCTCTCTCTCTCTCCTCTCTCTCCCTCTTCTCTCTCTCTCTCTCTCTCTCTCTCTTCCCTCCCTCTCCTCTCTCTCTCTCTCTCTCCTCTCTCTCTCTCTCTCTCTCTCTCTCTCTCTCTCTCTCTCTCTCTCTCTCTCTCTCTCTCTCTCTCTCTCTCTCTCTCCTCTCTCTCTCTCTTCCCTCTCTCTCTCCTCTCTCTCTCTGTGTGTCTATCTCTCTCCCTCACTCTCTCTCTCTCTCTCCCTTCCCTCCTTCCCTCCTTCCCTCCCTCTTTTTCTCTCTCTCTTTACAGGTAGCCACATCTAAACCTCAAACTTCTCCTTCTCTTCATCTCCCTTTCTCAACAGGCTAGCGCAGTCTTAGCAGGCTGGGATGAGGAGCTGGATACGGTCTTGGACAGGCTAACTCAGGCTGCCTATGCAAGCGCTTATGACGAAAGCTTAGAAGTCCTGCTCCGCTCCTCCAACCCGACGGCTCCTTCTCGGATTTGAAGGTACGGGCTTGTGTGTATATATATATATTATATATATATATATATATATTATATATATATATATATATATATATATATATATATATATATATATATATACAGTGTTTTATGGTGAGGAAGGTTCTTTTTTTGTTTTAGTTTATTTCTTTGTGTATATGATGGTGCGAGCGTTTTTGTGCTTGCATTGTTGGTACGAGCGTAATTTCTTTTTTTTTTTTTCTTTTTTTTCTTTTTGATGGTATGAGCGTAGTTTTATTTCTGTTTGATGTTTATTGTATATTTTTATTTGTATTCTTAATGGTACGAACGTATTTTTTTTTTTTTTTTTTTTTTGTCTTTAATGAAACGAGCGTAATTGTGTGTCTCTGTGTGTCTGTGTGTGTGTGTGTGTGTGTGTGTGTGTGAGTGTGTATTTAATGGCATGAGCGTAGTTTTACTTCTTTTCAGTCTTTTTTTATTTGTATTTTTGATGGCACGAACGTATAATTGTTAATCCATTTTTTTATGGAAGGAGCGTTTTTTTTTTCTTGAATCAGGTGCCTATTATTTGTTTTGAATTATTATATTTTCTGTTTGTGTAAGCAGTTTCATCACCTTAATTATCTTTCTCATAATTGTTATTGCTGCTGTTACTATTCATTCTCTGATCACCATTGTAATTGTCCTTCCCATTATCATTATCATAATAATTATCGTTATTATTAGTAAAGGTATTATCATCATCATTCTCCCAGCACTGCTGTTATTATCATTATCATCATTGTCATCATTTTCATTATCATCCTCTTCGCTATTTTCATTATCATTACGGACAAACCTGCCATTAATTTTCCCAGATTTTTTTCTCTCCCACCATCCTCCACGCTCTCCCACGTATACAGCCATGAACCACGTATCTTTCTATGTGTCCACCCATGTTTCACGCATCCTTGTATGTATCCCTGTCTTGTATATCCTTCTATGTATCCACCCATGTCTCACCTATCCTTCTATGCATCCCTGCCTTGCATATCCTTCTATGTATCCCCCATGCACCGCGTATCTTTCCTAGTATCCACCATGTATCACGCATCCTTATATGTATCCGCCCATGTCTTGCGCATCCTTCTATGCATCCCTGTCTTTTATATCCTTCTATGTATCCAGTCATATATCACGTATCCTTCTATGTATCCGCCCATGTCTCATGCATCCTTGTATGTATCCCCGTCTTGTATACCCTTCTATGTATCCACCCATGCACCACTTATCCTTCTATGTATCACGTATCCTATATATCCACCCATGTCTCACGTATCCTTGCAGGTATCCCTACCTTGTATATCCTTCTATGTATCCACCATGTATCACGTATCCAATGTATCCACCCATGTCTCACCTATCCCTTCTATCATCCCTATCTTCATATCCTTCTATGCATCCCCCATGTATCACGTATCTTTCTATGTATCCCCCATGTATCACGCATACTTCTATGTATCCACCATGTATCACGCATCCATTCTAGCATTCCCCCCATCCCACGTATCCTCTCCATCCCCCCATGTATCACGTGTCTTCCTCTCCATCCCCCCATGTATCACGTGTCTCCGCGCCCGCAGTACGCGAGGACGACTCACACGTCCTTCATCACCACGGCAAGAGGCCAGAGCTCCCTCGCCTTCCACCACGTCAACGGGGAGAGGACCTGAACGAGGGAGATCGTGTCCTCCTTCGCCTTCGTCACTTACACCCGCGGCCGGATAAACACAGGTGCTGTGGTGGGGTTGGTGGGGTGGGGGGGTGTAGTGGGTTCGCCTCTTTGGTTGGCTGGTGGTGTTGGGCTTTGTGGCTGGGTTGTGTGTGAGGAGTGGTGTGTTCTCATTGTGTGGGTGGGGTGGGGGTGTGTGTAATGTGTGCGGTGGGTGTGTTGTTGATTGTCTGCGCTAGGTTGCTGGGTTGTGTTGTGTGACGTTGTGTTATTGGGTAGGTTGTGTTTTGTGGGTGTGTGGTTGTGTGGGGTGTGGTGAGGTTGTGATGTTTGTGTGGGGGTGAAGGGTGTGGTTGTGGTCTGGTGGGGCTGCGGGTTGTTGTTGGTGCGCGTCTGTGTGGTTGTGGTAAGGGGTTGTTGTTTGGTGGCCAGTTGTGTGGTTGTTGGTGGGTTTGTGTGTTGTTGTGGGAGGTGGGTGCTGTAGTTGTGTCGGTGGAGTCGGTTGTTGTGAGTGGTTGGTGGGGTGATGTGTGTGGGGTGGGGTTGATGCTGTTTTGGTGTTCTGCCCGGTGTCGTCTTGTTGTGGTGGGTGGGGTTGGTCTTCCCGGGTTATGGTCGGGTAGGAATTGTGTGGTTGTGTGTTTGGTGGGGTGTTGGTGTGTGGGGAGGTGTGTTGTGTGGGTCGGTTAGTGTGGTTTGGGGGGTGAGGTTTGTCGTGTTGTGTGGGTTGGTGGTTTCGGTGTGGTTGGGTTGTGTGTTTGGGGGCGTGGAGTCTGGTGTTTTTGGCGGGGGTTGTTGGTGTGTGGCCGTCTTGTGTTGTTGTGGTGTGTCTTATTCGTGGGTGAAGGGTGTGTGTTGTGTGTGGGGCTTGTTCGTGTTGTGTTTGTGGTGGGGTTTGTGTTTGTGGTTGTGTGCGGTTGTTGGCTTGCCCCGGTGGGGTTGAGTGCTTTGGTGGGTGTGGTATTTGGTTGTGGGCTGACGTCGCTTGTTTGGTGGGGGTTGTGGTTGTGTGGCAGGTTGCTGTTGGTTGTGGTGGGGGTTGTGTGGTTGTGGTAGGGTTTGTTTGGTGGGATGGCGTGGGGGTGGTTGAGGCTTGTGTGGTTTGTGGTGGGGTAGTGTTGGTTGATTGTGGGAGGTGGGGTCTGTGTGTGTTGGGTGCGGGTGGGGGTGGGGGTTGTGTGGTGTGGTGGGGTGGGGTTGTGTAGGTTGTTCGGGGTGAGGCAGTGTGTGGTTGTGGTGGGGTTGTGTGGTTGCTGGGGGGTGGGTTGTGTTCTGTGCTGGGGTGGGGTTGTGTGGTGTCGGTGGCGGGTGGGTTGTGTGGTTATGAGTGGGTGGGGCTTGTGTGGTTTATGTTGGGTGGGGGTGTTAGGTGTGTTGTGGTGGGGGGGTGGGTATGTGTGCGTTATCTGTGGGTCGGGGAGTTGCTTGGTTTGGTCGGGGCGTGGGGTTGTTGTTATATGGTGGGGTGGGGGCTGATGGGTTGTGGTTGTGGGTGGGTGATTGCGCGTTGTGGTTGTCGGTGAAGGATTGTGAAGCGGAAGGTGGTTGTGGTGAATGTAATGTGGATGGTTGTGGTTGTGGTGGATGTAAAGGTGATTGATGGTTGTGGTGAAGGTGGTTATGGTGGTTGTGGTTGTGATAGTGGTTGTAGTGGTTGTACTGTTAATGTTAGTATGATAGTACTGATAATGATGATAATGAAGATCATAATATTAATGATAATGATAGCAATACTGACAATTATAAGTATGATAATCATAATAATAATGACAAAAATGGTAATGATAATATTAATGATAATGACAAAAATGGTAATGATAATATTAATGATAATATAATAATGATAACTGAGTAATAATGATAATATAATGATAGACTAGAATGATATGATAATGATAAGACTAATGATAGATGATAATGATAATGATAGATAATGATTGATAATGAATAACGATATGTAATAACAATGTTACTAATGATAATAGTGATGAAAAAAAAACAATAATGATGATAATAATAATAATTGATGATAACTATGATAATAATAAACAATAACAACGGTAGAATATAGTAAGTATAATAATGATAACAATAACAACTTCAATGATAATGATTATAATGGTAATAAAAAATAATCATAATGATAATAACAACATGAATAACCATAATGATAATAACAAAATGAATAATCATAATCATAATAATAACACAAGCAATAACGACAGGACACACAAGCACGACATACCATGGGATCCTCTTAAGCCAACAGACAACCTCTCTCTCGCAGACTCTAACTGGTGGGGTCACGTGATCGGCGTCCCCTACAAGTCGTGGATGGGAGCCACACTCGCCAGGGATCTGCTGAGCCAAGAACTCATGACGGATTACCTGGACAGGTGAGGTCGATATATTGGAAAAGGGGAAAAAGAAAAGAAAAAAAACGTGTTATATTTTTCTTTTGAGATGTATATACCACACACACACGCACGCACCACACACACCACACACACACGACACACACACACACACGCACACATACACACGCACACACACACACACACACACACACACTCAAGCACACGCACATATATATATATAGAGAGAGAGACAGATGGGTAGATGGATAGATGGATAGAAAGAGAGACTGTACTTGGATATGACTTTGGTTGTATGTGTGTATATGAGGGTATACATACATACATTGGTGTCTGTGTACAGAGAGAGAGAGGGGGAGAGAGAGAGAGAGAGAGAGAGAGAAGAGAGAGAGAGAGAGAGAGAGAGAGAGAGAGAGAGAGAGAGAGAGAGAGAGAGAGAGAGAGAGAGACAGACAGACAGACAGACAGAGAGATGCATATAGGTAGGGAGTTGTATATATGATTATTACAAGAAATTCTCACTTTCTTACAGGTACTGGGTTAACACCCCAGCCGGACCTGTCTGGGACACACAAGAACACTCAGAGCAAATGTCTGGTTGGTATGCCAAGTTGGTTGCCTTGGTTCAATAACGTTTTATTGCTATTACTAGTTTAGCGTTTTTATTGATATTACTAGTTTAACGTTTTTATTGGTATTACTAGTTTAACGTGTTTATTGATATTACTAGTTTAACGTTTTTATTGATATTACTAGTATAACGTGTTTATTGATATTACTGGCATAGCTTTTTATTGATATTACTAGTTTAACGTTTTTATTGATATTACTAGTATAACGTTTTTATTAATATTACTAGTTTAACGTGTTTTTTGTGTTGGTATATCGGTATTTAATGTGGTTTCTAGGTGTCAGTGTATATTCTCTCTCTCACTTTCGCCTTCTCTTCCTATCTTCTGTCTTTCTCCTCCATATCTTCATTCTTAGTTTTTCTTTCTAATCTTGCAATCCTTTCCTATTTTCTCCGTTCGGTCTCTCTCTTCCTTTTTTATTATCTCCCCTTGCACTCTCTCTTTCTCTATCTATATATTTATTTGACCCCCCCCCCCCATCTTTCTATTCCTCTCTCTCTCTCTCTTCTCTCTCTCTCTCTCTCTCTCTCTCTCTCTCTCTCTCTCTCTCTCTCTCTCTCTCTCTCTCTCTCTCTCTCTCTCTCTCTCTCTCTCTCTCTGTGTCTCTCTATCTCTTCCTTTTTTCATTCCTTCCCCGCATCCTCTCTCTCCAACCCTTCATTTTTTTCTCTGCTCCTCCTTTCCTTTTCCTTTTTTCTCCTCTCTCCTTCTCTCTCCATCTCTCTCTCTCTCTCTCTCTCTCTCTCTCTCTCTCTCTCTCTCTCTCTCTCTCTCTCTCTCTCTTCTCTCTCTCTCTCTCTCTCCTCTCTCCTCTCTCTCCCTCTCTCCCTCTCTCTCTCTCCTCTCTCCCTCTCTCCCTCTCTCCCTCTCTCCCTCTCTCCCTCTCTCCCTCTCTCCCTCTCTCCCTTCTCCTTCTCCCCTTCTCCCCCTCTCCCCCCCTCCCCCCTTCTCCCCCCTTCTCTCTCTCTCTCTCTCTCCCCCCCTCTCTCTCCTCTCCCCTCCTTCCTCTCCTCTCTAATAAGCTTCCTGTTCTCCAAAGGTGGGAACTTGGCCCCGCGAGCGATGCTAGGCGAGGTCGAAGGTCTGTTGCGAGGAACTTATGCGGAGGTTCACAAGGAGGTCCAAGAGGCGATGTTCATTGACCTGGCTCTGAGACAACCTTACGACGAAAATGGGTTCAGGTAATTTCGCTCAGGTGTTGATTGGTGGGATCTGTTGAAGGCTAGTGTGTGTTTGTACTTTTTTTGTTGTTGTTGTTGTTCTAGTTCTGTTGCATTGTTTCTTGTTTGTCTGACGACCTGTCTCCTTTTTTTCTTTTTCTTTTTTCTTTTTTATATATAGTTGTTTTGGAATATCGTTGTAACTTCTATCCTTTTTTTGTGTGTACGTGGGATTCGGCCATTTTCAAAAAAGGTATGAACTAAAAAAAAAAAATCACAGCTTTGTGTGACATTCTACAAAAACCCACCGACCCAATCTACAAAATATCATCTCCAATATCACTCAGCATTCATGGTATATCCATAGATGAAGACATACCTACTACCACAGTGGACGTACTTACCTCCCTCAGGCCAGACGGTTGTCTACATCAACACAACATACTGGGGGATCGCGCCACCGGTGATGGGTACCTGGAGCACAATCTCGGCAACATCTACAACAGTGCTTATGGGAGAGAACTGTTGGTGGTACGTCTGTCGAGAGAGTTGTTTTAATGTTTTATTATCATTATGTTTTAAGAGGATGAATCTTGGAGTTTTATAAATCAATTGTATCTTCTTTTTCTTTTTTCTTTCTTTTTTTTTTTTTTTTTTTGCATTGGTAACTGATCTATGGTGCTAGTGAATTAATTCTATATTTAGTTGTTAGTATTTCTCCTTTTCTAATCTCGGACGAATCTGATTTTACAATACCTCTTAGAAATACCTTTTACCACGACTGAAAAGCCTCCTATTACTCACACCAACACACTAAATTCCAACACAGAACGCGACTTCCACTCAACACGCAAGCCAACATCAACCCAAGTTAACACAAGAAAGCTCCTCAACGCTTTAAATCCCCCCCCCCCCCCTTCAGTGTTCTCAGCTTCCCGAACGCACACTCCCCTCGATCTCTTGCAAATGCATACTGACTGCACGCCCAACCCTTGCAGCACACGTCGAACCTCTTCAGCTGGTACACGGGGACGAGCATGGACTTCGAGAACGCCACCATCGAGGGGCTGTTTGGTGCCTATTTGGAGTGCCAGCAATGGCTCTTTCGAGGACACACTTCCGAACCCACAACGTGCGGGAGGCATTTGACAGATGGTATGGGACGAGAGGGGGGGAAAGGAGGGAGGAGGGGGAGGAGGGAAGGAGAAGGGGTGGAGCTTGGAGTGGAAGTGGGAGAGGGAGAAGGAGAAGGAGCGAGAGAGAGAGAGAAAGAGTGAAAGATAGAGAGAGAGAAGAAGAAATACGAATGAGAATGAGAATCGAGAGTTCAATAAAATGAGATTAAAGTGACCAAGAAAAAAAAAAAATCAAGCAAAAAATGAACGAACTCCTGGTTACACAGGCGCATTCGCATGCACACGTTTACTTACACGTCTGCCTCTCCGATTTCACAATCACACACAACCTAACAGTCACACACAACCAAACAGTCACACATTCCCGTTGGTCACCGTCTTTCCCAGGCGAGATCGCCACCAGGAACGGGACAGGAGGAGCCATACTAGCCGCGGGGAGGAACCTGCTGAAATTAGGTCGACATGTGGAAGAGGTGGAATCTGTTCTTCACCGATATGACAACGTTGTTCCGGATGCTGAACATGCGCTGGTCGGGAACAAGTTCTTCTTTAAGTGAGTCATAGAAAAATAGGGAAGGTTGATTGGGTGCTATTTTGATTGCTATTTTTGAAAGCGATTGTTGTGATATATGCGGATACATATTCACACACACACGTACATGGATATACGTTACATTCCCAATTATGCAAATTTCCCGTTTAACTTCACCCATTATGTTTATTGTACTATATTCACCGCACTTACTATGTAGGTATTTCAAGGTTCTAACCGTCCCTTTACCTACCGCTTCCCTTAGCTCGGACCTCACCGTGCACCAGCGGCGGGAGTACATGGCCAGCGTGCGGGTTCTGTCCAACCGCACTTCGAGGCCCGAGAGCTGGCCTCCCTCGCAGAACGGCGACGGGTATTTCCAGGTTGTGTTACGGTGTTTTTTTTTCAATTTCTTAGAGTGGGTATTTCCAGTTGTGTTATGTTGTTGTGGTTTATTTTTTTAGAGTGGGTGTTTCCGGGTGTGTTACGGTGTTTGTGGTTCATTTTAGAGTGGGTATTTCCAGGGTTGTGTTACGGTGTTTTTGGTCCATTTTTAGAGTGGATATTTCCAGGTTGTGTTACGCTTTTTGTCGGAATGGTGTATGGCGATGTGTTTTTCCAGGTTGTGTTACGGTGTTTTTTTTTTTTAATTTTAGAGTGGGTATTTTCCAGGTTGTGTTATGGTGTTTGTTTGGTTTTATTTTGTTAGAGTGGGTATTTCCAGGTTGTGTTACGGTGTTTGTGGTTCATTTTTAGAGGGTATTTCCGGTTTGTTACGGTCTCTTTGGTCCATTTTTAGAGTGGATATATTTAAAGAGTTTGTTGTTACGGTCTTTTTGGTCGGATTGTGTATGGCGATGTGTTTTCCAGGTGTGTTACGGTTTGTTGGTTCATTTCTAGAGTGGGTATTTTGATTGAAATGGTAGTGATGAGTGTTTCCGGGTCGTGTTACAGTGTTTTTAGATTGGTGGATAAGAGTGTTTCCAGGTTGTGTTATGGTGTTTGTGGTTTATTTTTTAGAGTGGGTATTTCCGGGTTGTGTTACGGTGTTTGTGGTCGGATTTGTGTATGGCGAGTGTGTTTCCGGTTGTGTTATGGTGTTTTTTGTTCATTTTTAGAGTGGGTATTTGATGATAATGGTAGTGATGAGTGTTTCCGGGTTGTGTTACGGTGTTTTTGGTCGGATTGGTGTATGGCGATGTGTGTTTCCAGGTTGTGTTATGGTGTTTGTGGTTCATTTTGTAGAGTGGGTATTTCCAGGTTGTGTTACGTTTTTCCCTTTTTTTTTGGTTCATATTTAGAGTGGGTATTTCCAGGTCGTGTTAAGTTTTTTTTCTTTTTTTTTGGTTTATTTTCAGAGTGGGGATTTCCAGGTTGTGTTACGTTTTTTCTTTTTTTGGTTCATTTTTTAGAGTGGGTATTTTCGGGTCGTGTTACGGTCTTTGAGGTCGGATTTATGACGATGGGTTATTCCAGATTTGTGTATGGCGATGAGTGTTTCAGGTTGTGTTACGGTCCTTGTAGTCCATTTTAAAGAGTGGTATTTCCAGGTCGTGTTACGGTCTTTGAGGTCGGATTTATGACGATGGGTTATTCCAGGTTGTGTTGTAGTGTTTATGGTCCAACTCTGTGTATGGCGATGAGTGTTTCCAGGTTGTGTTATAGCTTCTATGGTTCAATTTGTGAATAGCGAAGAGCATATCCAGGTCGTGTTGTGGTCTTTATAGTAAAATTGGATCATGGCAATGGGTATTTCCAGTTTGTATTACGGTCTTTATTGTCAAATTTGTGAATGGTAATGGGTATATCCATGTGGGTTCAGACATGAATAATGGCATTAGGTATACACAGGGGACGGACAACATAGATATAGTAGTAATGGGATATGGTGTATATTGTGACTGTGTTGTGTTTCTGTTAAATGTATGTTGTTTTTCGTCTTTTTTTTTACATTTTATTTTTCTTCTTTATTGTTATCTCAAAAACGAAAAAGATTATCTATTTGTTTATGTTCTGTTTACTGATCCACTCTTTGGATTTGTGACGTCGAGGATATATATATATATATATATATATATATATATATATATATATATATATATATATTTTTTTTTCTTTTCTCTTTTCTTTATATAGAAAATTTCAAATCAGAAAAAAATGTATGGTATCTAAAATTCAGAATAAATTCTACATTTCATTTCACCCCCCCCCCCCTTAATATCCCTTTATTTTCCCTTCCAAACATACCTTGTTAGATAATCCACACCTCCCACAACTCACAGTAATTTATTTTCCTAATCCTAATTCATTTTCCTAATCCTAGTTTATTTTCCTGATCCCCAATTTATTTTCCTAATCCCTAATTTATTTCCCTAATCCCAATTTATTTTCCTGATCCCCCTAATCCCTGATTTATTTTCCTGATCCCAATTTATTTTCCAATCCCTAATTCATTTCCTATCCCTAATTTATTTCCTAATCCCTTTATTCCTGACCAATTTATTTCCTAATCCCTGATTTATTTTCATGATCCCCAATTTATTTTCCTAATCCCTAATTCATTTTCCTAATCCTAGTTTATTTTCCTAATCCTAATTTATTTTCCTGATCCCCAATTTATTTTCCTAATCCCTGATTTATTTTCCTGATCCCTAATTTATTTTCCTAATCCCTAATTTATTTTCCTGATCCCTAATTTATTTTCTAATTTTTCCCTAATACCTAATCTATTTTCCTGATCCCTAATTCGTTTTCCTAATCCCAAATTTATTTTCCTGATCTTCAGCCTGATAACCTAATCCCTTAATCCCTATTTATTTTCTTAAACCCTAATCTATTTTCATAATCCCAAATTTCCCCCCTAATTTAATCTATTTTCCAATTCGTTTTCCTAATCCTGATTTATTGTCTTAATCCCTAATTTATTTTCTTAAACCCCTAATCTATTTTCATAATCTCTAATTTATTTCCCTGATCCCGAATTCTATTTTCCTAATCCCTAATTTATTTTCTGATCTTTATCTGTTTTCCTAATCCCCTAATTTATTTTCCTGATCCTAATTCATTTCCCTAATCCTTTCCTGATCTCTAATTTATTTCCTAATCCTAATTTATTTTCCTAATCCCTAATTCATTTCCCTAATCTCTAATTTATTTTCCTAATCCCTAATTTATTTTCCTAATCCCTAATTTATTTCCCTAATCCCTAATTTATTTCCCTAATCCCTAATTTATTTTCCTAACCCCTAATCTTAAGCAGAAAATCCCAATCCACAGGTTATTTCCCTAATCCCCAATTCTTTTTTTCTAATCCCAAATTTAACTCCCAATCCACAGGGCGACGGATTCATGACAATCCTAATCGACGGAGAGGAATACGGAAAACCCAAGAAAGAGGTTTTCCTGGTCTACGATTGGGCGAGGGTTCCCGGTGTGACCAACCTCTATACGACGGATATTCCACAGGTTTGTTGCAAGCTACGGGTGTGGATGGAGGGGTGTGTGAGTGGATGGGTGTGGATGGGGTGTGGGGTGTATAGGGATGGAAGAGGGTGTGTGGTGTGGATGGGGATGTGGATGGTGTGGATGGGTGTGTGGATGGCTGTGTGGATGGGTGTGTGTGGATGGGATGTGGGGTGTGGATGGAGGATTTGTGTGTGGTGGGTGTGGATGGAGGGTGTGTGTGGATAGGGGTGGGTGGAGGGTGTGTGTGTGGATGGGGTGTGGATGGAGGGTGTGTGTGTGTGGATGGGGGTGTGGAAGGAGGTGTGTGTGTGGATGTGGTGTGGATGGAGGGTGTGTGTGGAAGGAGTGGTGTGTGTGTGGCGGGTGTGGATGGAAGATATTGTGTGTGATGGGGTGTGATGGAGGAGAATGCGAGAAAGAGGGATGTGGAGTGAGTGTGGATGGAGTGTTGATGGTGTGGAAGGAGAGAGGAAGGAGAAGAGACGAGAATTGAGAAAAGAGGGATGTGGAATGTGTGTGTGAATGGAGTATGAATGGAGAAGGAAAGGTGGAAGGTAGAAAGAGGAGAGAAAAGGGAAAAAAGGGGGTTTGGAAGGGTGTGGATAGAGAGGGTGAAAACTGGAGGCAGAGAAGAGGAAGGAAAAACGAGGGATGTGGAATTGTGTGGAAGGGAGGTATAGATCTATCCATCCACTTAACCATCTATCTATATTCATGGAATTATTATCCCACTGAAAACCCACAAACGTTGTCTCGTCCTCAGCACCTGTCTGTCTGTCTGTCTGTACATCCGTCTATCAAACTGACCTATATATCTGCCAGTCTATATCTATCTATCTGCCTAATAATCAAATCTATCTGTTTTCATCTCTCTCTCTCTCTCTCTCTATCTCTATCTCTCTCTCTCTCTATCTCGTCTCTCTTCTCTCTCTCTCTCTCTCTCTGTTTATCTATCCATCTATCCAGATATATATGTCCATCAACCTATCCATGCATCTAGCTTCCTATCCATCCCGACACTTATCCATCCTCCTTCCTATCCATCCGACCACCTGTCCATCTATCTAGATTCATGGAATTATCGCCCCACTAAAACACTTTTATTTTATTTTTTCCCTGTCTCTCCCTCAGTCTATCTCTATCTCTTTCTGTCCTCCCACCTATCCATCCGTCTATATATTTACTTATTCATTCATTCATATATATTTATGAAAACCTATTGTTTCTTTCTCTCTTTCTTTCACTCATTCTCTCTCTCTCTCTCTCTCTCTCTCTCTATCTATCTATCTATCTATCTCACTCATTCTCTCTCTCTCACTCTCACTCTCACTCATTCTCTCTCTCTCTCACACACACACACTCTCTCTCTCTCTCTCACTCTCACTCATTTTCTCTCTCTCTCTCATTCATTCTCTCTCTCTATCTGTTTATCTATCCACCTATCCATCCATCCATCTATCTTTCCATCCCCATCTCGAACGCAGTACCACACGGGAGCCTACTGGTCCGGCCACTTCTTCAACGACGCCAAGTTCGCAGGGGGCGTGTCCGACGGGGAGGTGGGCGTGACAGCGATGGTGTGCCGCCGCCCTTACGTGGCACTGCGGTCTGTCAAGTCCTGGTTCTTCTTTGATGACGTCATCGTGGCCCTTGGCACTGGCATCTCCCTCGGGGTTGATGACACCACGGGGGAGAGTGTCATTACGACGCTGGCACAGGTGGGGGTTCGGGACTAAATTATTGTTATTATTATTATTATTATTAATATTATTATCATTATATTATTATATTATTATTATTATTATATTATTATTATTGTTATTTTATTATTTATTATTATTATCATTATTGTTATTATTATCATTATCACATATTTCATTATCATATATTTCATTATCATCTTATTATATATCATCATATTATTATTATTATTATTATCATTATTATTATCATTATTATCATTATCATCATCATTATCATTATTATTTTTTTATTATTATTATTATCATTATCTTTATTTTTATTATCATTATCATTATTATCATCATTATCATCTAGCTATATGTGTTTTATATATTCTGTACGTTAGGCAGCGGGGTTGATTTTTTTAAATACTATTTTTGTGTTTGTTTGTTTGTTTTTGTATCTCTCTCTCTCTCTCTCTCTCTCTCTCTCTCTCTCTCTCTCTCTCTTCTCTCTCTCTCTCTCTCTCTTCTCTCTCTCTCTCTCTCTCTCTCTCTCTCTCTCTCTGGATCCCCCTCCTTACACCAACTCTCTCTATCCACTCACTTGGACTGGCTTGCCTACCCATTGGATAGATTACACACACACACACACACACACACACACACACACACACACACACACACACACACACACACACACACACACACACACACACACACACACACACACACACACACACACACACACACACACACACACACACACATATATATATATATATATATATATATATATATATATATATATATATATATATATATATCTCTCTATCTTTCCCTCTATCAACCTATTTATCTATCTGTCTATCTATATTCATTCATCCCTTTCAAATCATAAAAAAACAACCAATAAAGCGATATCAAACCCACTAAGCAACCAATCAGCTGATACTAAACCGAGCCCAGAACCAATCAGCTGATACCAAGTCACAGATCAGCTGATACCAAGCCCCTCCCCCTTCCGCCCTTTCCCCAGCTGGCCTTCGAAGGATCTTACGTCATAGGAACGAGCAACGGAGAGGAAATAACAGCTGATTTCGGAAGCAACGTCGAGAGCCAACCTGCCTTCCTCCATCATCGAAACATCGGCTACGTTTTCATGAATGGAAATGAGACCCTGTTTACTATGGCTGACTCACGGGTGCACGGGGAGGATGCCATTGATATATTTAGGTGAGGATTTGTGAATGGGGTTTTCAGTGTGTGTGTATAAGGACGTGCAAAATGATGGGTTTATGATGGGAGGTCCAAATTGACGGGTTTATGAGTGTGGGTATATATACAAGTCTATATAAGTGCAAATTGAGGGTTATGAGTGTGGGTATATACAAGGTCTATATAAGTGCAAATTGGCGGGTTTATGAGTGTGGGTATATACAAGGTCTATATAAGTGCAAAAGTGCAAAATGACTATTTGTTATTTGAATGATAAGAACAAAAAATATACAGGATATAAGGGTATGGAAAGATGTGTATGAATGGGAGGTAAAAATACTTTTTTGTTGTTATTTGAATGATAAGGAGGAAAATATGGGGGATATAAGGTTATTTTAGGTTTTAGCATTTTTTCTATCAAAATTTTGTGTATAGTGTCCTTCCGGTATGTATATTTGTCTGTCTATGTATCTATCTACCTATCAATTTATCTTTGGTATTGTCATATGTATGGATGAATCCGTGTGAAAGATATTTCTTCGCTATCTATTCATAATGAATAACCGAGAATGAATGATTTCACAGTCATTCACGTTACGACACCATTATTTTTCATTATTGTTCATTATTTCATCGATCGGAGAACGGTACTCACACTCACCAATTTCAGACTTCTGCTATTTTTTGCGAGAGTTGCGAATGTAAATGAGAATGAATGATCTTCCAAAGCAAAAAAAAAAAAAAAAAAAAAAAAAAAAAAAAAAAAAATCTTTGTTTTTTACATCCACTATAAAACGTATTTCGTCGATAATTCATTTTCCATCGTGGAAGTATTCATTCTCATTCATGATATTTTTGGAAGAATTATCTCAATAGAAACAGAATTTCTCTCATTTTTTTTTTCTCGCGACACAACTGTCTATAACAAATATTTAGAATTTTATTCGATGCCTCTTCGTGGTTTTATGGAAATTTAGCAAGAAGGGAAGATAATATCCACTTATTTAAGAATTTAACAGTAATATACGGGACGCACTTATACACCATATAATAAAGTTTAATAGAAGTTGTAATATCAGACAATATGAGCGAGATTATGGCTATTAATGTATTTGATTAAGGCTGGATTATGAAACTACATTTAATGGGTCTTATTTTATGTTCATTTTTCGTCTATAAGTTTATTGAGAGAAAAATCATGTACTGTTTCCACTTACACGTTTCCTTAAGCGTGTAGGTAGATTTGAAATTGTCAAAGATATTAAGTACTTGGCAGCCTATTAGTTAATCTATTAGTCAGTCTGTCACTCGCTCACTCGCTCGTTCACTCACTCACTCATTCACTTGCTCGCTCACTGAATGACTGACTGCTGACTGGACTCACGCTCTCGCTCGTCACTCACTCACTCACTCATCGCTACTCACTCACTCACTCTCAGCTCGCTCACGACTTCTGACTCACGCTCTCGCTCGCTCTCTCACTCACTCACTCACTCAACTCACGCTCTCGCTCGCTCACTCCTCCTCACTCACTCATTCACTCACTCACTCAACTCACGCTCTCGCTCGCTCACTCACTCACTCACTCACTCACTCACTCACTCTCACTCACTCAGACTCACGCTCTCGGCTCACTCACTCACTCACTCATTCGCTCGTTCACTTACTCACTCGCTCACTCACTCACTCGCTCCTAATTTCCCCACCTCTCAGTGCCTGGCTTGACCACGGTTCGACCCCCGAAGACGCGACCCACAGTTATGTCGTGTTGCCCTCGTTTGACCTCGAACAGACGAGGCTCTTCGCTGCCAACCCTCACGTGAAGGTCATCTCTCAAGGCCGTGACCTCCATGCTGTGTGTCACGAGCCGTCTAAGGTCAGTCGATAGATTTCAGATGAGTGAGGAGAGACGAGATCACGGAGAGGTCCTGTGGGTGATGTGTTTGTTTTTGTGTGTTATGGTGTTGTAGTTGGATGGGTGTGTGAATGTTTGTGGGTGTTGTTGAATGGTTTGTGGGTGTTGTGAATGGTTGTGGGTGTTGTGAATGGTTTGTGGGTTTGTGGAATGTTGTGATGGTTTGTGGGTGTTGTGAATGGTTGTGGGTGTGTGTGGTTGTGGGTGTGTGAATGGTTTGTGGGTGTTGTGAATGGTGTTGTGAATGGTTGTGGGTGTTGTGAATGTGTGAAGTGTTGTGAATGGTTTTGTGGGTTTGTGAATGGTTTGTGGGTGTTGTGAATGTTGGTGTTGTGAATGTTTGTGGGTGTGTGAATGGTTTGTGGTGTTGTGTGTTTGTTGTTGTTGTGTTGTGTGGTGTGTTTGTTGGTGGGGTGTTGTGAATGGTTTGTGGGTGTTGTGAATGGTTTGTGGGGTGTTGTAAATGGTTTGTGGTGTTGTGAATGGTTGTGTGTTGTGAATGGTTGTGGGTGTTGTGAAAATGGTTTGTGTGTTGGAATGGTTGTGTGTTGTGAATGGTTGTGGGTGTTGGGGTTTGTGGGTTGTTGTGAATGGTTTGTGGGTGTTGTGAATGGTTGGTGTTGTGTGTGTGGGTGGTGTTGTGAATGGTTTGTGGGTTTGTGAATGGGTTTGTGGGTGTTGTGAATGGGTTGTGGGTGTTGTGAATGGTTTGTGGGTGTTGTGAATGGTTTGTGGGTGTTGTGGTTTGTGGGTGTTGTGAATGGTTGTGTTTGTGGGTTTGTGGGTTGTGAATGGTTTGTGGTTGTTGAATGTTGTGGTGTTGTGAATGGGTTTGTGGGTGTTGTGTGAATGGTTTGGGTGTGTGAATGTTTGTGGGTGTTGTGAATGTGGGTGTTGTGAATGGTTTTGTGGGTGTTGTGAATGGTTTGTGGGTGTTGTGAATGGTTTGTGGGTGTTGTGAATGGTTTGTGGGTGTTGTGAATGGTTTGTGGGTGTTGTGAATGGTTGTGGTGTTGTGAATGGTTTGGGTGTTGTGAATGGTTTGTGGGTGTTGTGAATGGTTTGTGGGTGTTGTGAATGGTTGTGTGGTGTTGTGAATGAATGGTTTGTGGGTGTTGTGAATGGTTTGTGGTGTTGTGAATGGTTTGTGGGTGTTGTGAATGTGGTTGTTGTGGTTTGTGCGTTGTGAATGGTTTGTGTGTTGTGAATGGGTGTGGGTGTTGTGATGGTTTTGTGGGTGTTGTGATGGTTTGTGGGTGTTGTGAATGGTTTGTGGGTTTGTTGTGAATGGTGTGGTGATGTGGGTTGTGGGTGTTGTGAATGGGTGTTGGGTTTGTGTGTGTGAATGGTTTGTGGGTGTTGTGAATGGTTTGTGGGTGTTGTGAATGGTTTGTGGGTGTTGTGAATGGTTTGTGGGTGTTGTGAATGGTTTGTGGTGGTGTTTGGTTTGTGGTTTGTGAATGGTTTGTGGGTTGTGAATGGTTTTGGTGTTGTGAATGGTTTGTGGTGTTGTGATGGTTTGTGGGTGTTGTGAATGTTGTGGTGTGTTGTTGTTGTTGAATGTTTGTGGGGTGTTGTGAATGGTTTTTGGGGTGTTGTGAATGGTTTGGGTGTTTGTGAAGGTTGTGGGTGTTGTGAATGGTTTGTGGGTGTTGTGAATGTGTTGTGTGAATGGTTTGTGGGTGTTTGTGAATGTGGTTTGTGTGGGTGTTGTGAATGGTTTGTGGGTGTTAGTGATGGTTTGTGGGTGTTGTGAAGTTTTGTGTAGACAGTTTTGTTGAAAATTGTTCTGTTTTATTGATGTTCATAGGCGTGGAGAAAGGGTTTTAGATCTGGAAGGATAGATTAGGTCGTAGATGGAGAAATTTGAAGTGTTACGTGCTTTTGTTGAATGTAGTTCCGTGATTTAAAGGTTCGTCTGTGTTAAAGAATAGGTTTTGAGTATTGTTTACATCACTCATCCCATTTACATACATTATTATGCGTCACAATTATTCTTCGTGGAAATATTGTAATATTTATCACACTGAATTTCCACGTGAGCAGACAGTGCATTATATAATGCATACATAATATAACCATTCAACATTATGAACGATTATTCAAAATGCACTTTTAAAGATTCAATTAAAAAATAATCTAAATAAAAATGAAATAATCTAAATAAAAAGAAATAATTCAAATTAGAAATAATTAAATAATTATTAAAATGCATTTTAAAACAGGAATCAAATTAAAAAGAATCAAAAATAATAATAAAAAAATAAAAAAGGAAATAACCAATGGTAAACAACAATAGAAAAACAGGTCTGCAACATGTTCTTGTGTTTCCTTGCTCTCACTCTTTTTTTTTTTTTTTTTTTCTTTTCTTTTTATACAGACGATCGGATTCGCGTTCCTGACAGACGGCGAGCTGACACCTTCTACCTGTGGAGACGCTGCCGAGGTCTCCCTCCTCGTCGACACGCCCTGCCTCGCCCTCGTCAGCGTCAGGAGCGAATCCGCCGACGCCGCTGAGCTGTCAGTGACCCTCGCAGACCCGCAGCAGATGTATGACGTCATTCGGGTGAGGGTGACGTATGACGGGAGGGCAGCAGAGAGGGACGTCCAGATGCCGCCTCCGCCCAAGCGAGGGTCCAGCGTTACTGAAGCGTTTGTTGTGTAGATATTGGCAGGACTATAACTACGACAACACGACTATAACTCAACTACGACTATAACTACGACCACAACTACGGGACTATAACTACGACCAACTACGACTATAACTACGGCTATAATATCACAACTACGACTACTCGACTACAACTGCGACTTAACTACGGCTACGACTACGGCCACAACTACGACTATAACTACGACACTACTACGACTATAACTACAAACTACGCACAACTACGACTATAACTACGGACTACGACAACTACGGCCACAACTACGACTATAACTACGGCCACAACTACGACTATAACTACGGCCACAACTACGACTATAACTACGGCCACAACTACGACTATAACTACGGCAACTACAAACTACGACTATAACTACGACCACAACTACCAACTGCGACTAATACTACGGACTACGGACTATACCACAAATACGATCGCAACTACGACTATACCTACGACTACAACTGCGACTATACGACTATAACTACGACCACAACTACGACTATAAACTACGGACTACTACTACACACTACCGACTATAACTACGACCACAACTACGACTAACTACGGACAACACTACTACAACACGACTACATACTACGACCACTACGACGACTATAACTTAACTACTACGACTACTACGACTATAACTACGACTATAACTATGACCACAACTACGATTATAACTATAAACTACGACTTTTACTAGGATAACTACGACTATAACTACGATAACTACAACTATAGCTACTAAAACTAAGCCTATAACTACAACTACTACAATAACTAACTACGACTATAACTACTATAACTAACTACGACTATAACTACTATAACTGCGACTATAACTATTATAACCACCATGACTACAATTATACCTACTATAGCTACGACTATAACTACTATAACTACGATTATGGCTACTATTCAACTACTTATACTTAGGTATTCAAATTAATAATAGATCTTATCAATCTAAATGAATATCTAAATTGATAATTATTTGAAT